GACCCTGGGGTCTAAACCCCTAGCTGGACTCCCCAGCCCAGAGCACCAGAAAAGGAGGGCTTCAAAATACAGAAGGGAAATTTCAAAAATAAAATTAACAAGAGTCTAAGGGCTCGTATCACAATGTAATGTAAACCGGCAAACTACAACTTGACTCACATCTATAAGGTGAAGTGTGGGTATATTTTTTATAGTTTAATATACTGAAGATGGAGCCTCCAACTTTAGAATGCAACAGCCCTGATTATTTCTGGGATATGGGAATTTTTATTTTAGAGAAACATCCAGGGACTTTGCTGTGGGCTATAACACCCTTCTGAGGCCCAGCTCAAGTCTCAATGCCCAAATTAACCTACCCCTCACCTTTTCTGACCTGGGACCTATCATTTGAATCTTGATGTCATTTTTGCCAAATTCTAGTGTGGTAGATAGATATATTTCTTTGGATCCAAAGAAACCTAAACAGTCTAGATTTAATATGTTTATTGTTTTCACTACAACTTAATTGTTAAATATATATTAATTTGATTTAATTTTTGTAACTTTGCAAGATTTTTTATATAAATGTATTCACAAATCAGAAAGCACTTTATCACAATCCTCTTGATTTATGATAAAGAAAAATGTATTTTATGCATAAAATAGGAAAGTTCTCAATGCATAAGAGAGGTTCAAAGGTCGAATCTTAGTATATTTATTTTATATATTTTCATACTATAAATGAGTACTTGTATAATGCTTGACATAGTAAAGCATAAGAAGACTGTTATAAATTAGCATTAAATTGGAAATAGTGACATTCTGAGGTAACTTTCAGCTCTTTCTGAATCTGCAAAAGCCGTAAGTCAGGAATGAAGCAGGTGTCTTTCCTAAACTTTTGATCCTGACACTCTGAGAATGAGACATAATGACCATAGCATAAAATATTTCAGATCAATAACCTTTAGCCTCACATTTTGTAATGGCTGAAAGGACAGACAGGGAAGGTGAAAAGAATTATTGTGTTTTCTTCCTGAATCTATCTGCTCTTCTGGCTCCCTCAGCAGCTCAGCTGTAAGCTCCAACCTGCCTCATCTTCCTTCAAACCCGAACTCTGATGTTACCTAGCCCCTGAGAACCGAGCTGGAATATCAGTGAAGGGTTGTCGAAGGAAACCCTAAATGACTAATGTTGAGTTTCTGTTGCTCATGGGAATCAGGGTTTAAAACAGAAATTATGTGAAGTTATAGAAAAATACAGAAAATACATTACTTTAGTTTATTAACAAAGATTTGCAGCTACTGCTCTGCCATACCACCTAACTGGACAGTAGGGTTTTCCAGGGATAACACAGACACCACGTCATTGGGGTGAGGACCTGGATTCAGTGGGAGCTCATGGCCAGAGCAGGTCCCCCTTCTTCCTCCTCCTCTAGTCACGGAGTCTGAATTGCCTGAAGAGCAACAGGAAGTTCTAATTTTCTTCCTTTCTCTCTCCACCCTACAAAGGGCTTACCACAGTTTGATATTTGAAATACCAATAGTGTCAATATTATTATATAATTGATTACAGATTTTGTGATTTTGGGTGGAGTTTCATATTTTTTGGGAATAATTTTCCTTGGGAACACTGTGCCAATTTTGTAATAAGAATCAGTCAGGTAATTAGGGTTAATAGGCAGAATTTTGATTTTCAGATTCTTTTTTTTTTAAAATTCATGGAGATTTGGCCTGATCTTATAGAGAGGAATATCTTACAGCCTGCATCCATCAGCAGGAATTTGTATAAAGGAAAAAGTAATCTTTTATCCCCTTCCAATATTTCTCTCAAGCGGATGAGATAGGATTGTGCATACCCAGAGGGCAATGTGGGGTTCAGTGGCAGGACTGAGTTAGAAGAAGTGAGTTTAATTCTAATTCCTGTGATGGGATCTAAGGACAAATGACCTCACTTTGTGAAATGGGAGTGATACAGCTTATTGCATAGGGCTTTTGTGAGCATTATATGAAGTTCTATATATGATAGTTATTTCAAAAGTGCTGTATAAAAGTAAGGCATTATCATCAGACAGCCAAGCAAAATTAAAAGCTTTAATAAAACCCATCCTTTACTCACTGCAAGGAGACATTTTCTTACCCATGTGCAAACAAGACGTATTTGCCATTGAAAGTTAAGTTTTTGAGACTAGATGGCTCAGGAAGCAATAAAGATGATCAAATATGTCAAGGGAGACATTTTAAAAAAAGGGATAAGTATATTATAGCAGAAGTAGAAGACAATCTACTTCCTTTAAAGAGCCATATCTATTCATAGCATATTTGGAAAAGTATTGAATTCAGGAATATGAGACCTAGAAAAGTGATCTAAAGAGTCAGGGTGTCATTCAGTATAAAAGGTTTAGTCAGGCAAACTAAGATTAATAACAGAAGATTAAATCATGGCCGTCCTTGTGGGAAGGATATGCATGGAGAAGGGTGCACGTCTGTGTATTCCTATCACCTTGATCCATGCCTTGCCCACAGTAGTTTCTCAAATGATTTTTGCAGAATGAATGTAAAGGCTCAGGAGTATACCTGAGAAGCGATACATCAATCAAGCTGATATTATATCTGAATGGTTCAAAAAGAGATACATGCTTATTGGTTCTGAATTATAAAATAAAAGTGTGAGCTAATTACAATGGCAGTCCAAGCCTTGTAGCTTCCTTAATTATTCCAATTTATTTTTTACAATTTTGGAATCAGAATGCTCTCCCCAAATATCAGTGGTGAGTAGCCAATGACACTTAGAATGAAAGAAAACAGGTTTCACAGGAGAACTGAATCTCTTTGGTTTGGGATGACAAATAGGTCAGCATTATTCTGTTGTGATGGCTGCTGGGATTCTAAGGTTAGGCCCTAGGGGAGCTGTGAGTCAATTGATTAGCAATATCAACCGTGGGTGCTGGAGTCAGGGATGGCACACAAATACTGTCTCAAAGGGGTTTCCAATTTGAAGGTTGAATTTGTAAATGACCTCCTACCTGCTCTTCTGAGGACAACCTCATGATTATTAGGCGGCATGGCTTACTATGGTGACTAAAATCGGGAGGAATTGGGAAAGGTATTGCAAGATTGACAGAGACTGAAACTATGCTCACCAGACACAGTGTGTTTGTGTGTGTATGTCTCCCAGCCTTGGTCCAGTTGGTTTGGGCCACATGACTGAGTTCTGGCCAATGAGATGTGGGCAGAAATGGTATAAACTATGTATGGGCCTGCCCATTAGAAATATCCCATATGATCACCCAGCAGCTCTCTGCTGCCATGGTAAACCTTGGGGCAGTGAGCTCCGAATGCAAAGCTGCAAGGGGAGAAAGGCCCACAAAGGATTGAGGCCTAAACGTCACAGAGATGCTGGATTTTGTACCGTTGCAGCAGTAGAGTGAATGACCGTAATACATACTAATGATTATTATGGGTAGTGGTTTGTTATCATGATGGGAAACGTTTTGCAGGAATCTGCTTCCTGAACTGCACCTTTGAGACAGCGCATTGCACTGCCTGCCTGTGTCACCATTAGGTCACAGAGGCTTCCTAGATCCTGCAGGCATCTTCAAACTACGGCCCGCGGGCCACATGCGGCCTGCAGAGGAGTCTGATCCGGCCCGCCAGGTTTTTTGGGCAGTGAGTGCAGCCAAGGTGTTACAGTAGGAATTAGTAGTTCATATAGTCCGGCCCTCCAGCTCTCTGAGGGACCGTGATCTGGCCCCCACTTTAAAAAGTTTGAGGACCCCTGCGTGTGGACTCTGCTTGCCCTGGGCAGGTGCTGGTGAGGTGGGACAACGTACTTATCCTTCCGAAAGTGTATTTCTAATAGCACCATTCCTTTCCATGGATTTCTGTACCTGACCAAGTTAACTTTAAACCAAACAGCAGAAAACAAAAGTAAAAAAAACACATCAAAACCTAGGTGCTCTGGCATTGGTGGGCCTCTGTTTCTGGTGCTATTTGATTCTCTCAGCTGAGACCCCTTCAGGGACCTCAGCTGAGATCAATGGCATTGCCTAAATATTACTCTTTTTTTTCTGTCTTTCTCCAGCTTTTCTCTTTGATTTCTTATATTCCTTTATCTTAATTTTGCTAATTCCTAAACCTTTCATATAGCGCTCCACTGGGGCAGACATAGTCTCTCTAACCTGTGAACACTGTCATCTGTATCTCTCTGAAGACACCTCCAGGCCACCTCCTGGTGGGTACTATAGTTACGTACTTACAATATTTACAATACACCCATGGCAGCCCTTCCTCCTAGACCATGAGCTTCTGGAGAGGAGGGGAAATACAGCTTTCTGGTTCCTGTCAAATATTCTACAGCACACAGCAGTGTGCCTATGTTGTATTGAACACATGAATGAATAAACGAAAATCTCCTTTGCAAAGCTATGAATTCTCCCAGTTTAAAAATTATGAAGTAGCTTCTGTAGAAATAGAAGGCAGCTTAAAAAAAAGGACAAGCATGTAAAATATTATAGCTCTGAATATACAAAAAACATTTTATTTACTCATAGTATCAGAATGCTGGGTGGATTTTATTATTTTCCTCTGGCCTGGTTCTTGCTTTTTCTATTTCTTTTTTAAATCTGAAGCTCTTAGACAATTGCTTTTATGGGAGTGAAATAAAGGATGGAGATTTGAGATTGGCAAAAATATAGAACTGTACCCCTTTAAAAAAAAAAATCTAAAGCAGTTACCATGAGGATAAACAGGTTTCTTCTCAATGCAGCAATTCCATAAATAATAGAGGAGTTTTTGTCCCACTAGTGAGAAGTTTGCAGGGCAGTGCCCACGATATATATATTTCTGGCTGGGAGAGGCTATGGTTTTACAAGCTAATTATTATATAACAAGTTGGCTTTTGTTCGCTACCTGGGAAGTTAAAACAGCAGGTTCAGAAAGATAAAGTGTGCACGCATGTGTACATTTTTAAAAACTCTGATTACAAACAACTGTTTGAGAGAATTGAAAAAAAAAAAAAACAAGTTAGAAAAAAAACAGTTTATTAAGTAATATCATATAAATAACTTGTTACAAAAATTGATCTGCAAAAGGCATATTTACTCTTTGTGAGAAATCACTTTTTAAATTGCATTCTTTTCAAATGTATACGTCTAAGGAAACAAAGGGAAATCAGAGAAGCCGCTTCAAGGAGCATGTACTTGCCACTGGATTACAACGAAAGGCCCGGCACAGTGAGCGGACAGGTAGCAGTCTCACCCCATTCTTCCAATATAGAAAACTTGCTCATGGAACCTGTTACGCCTGAACATCTCCCTGACTAGGAATGTTGATGAGAGCTGAGCAGCGACTGTTTCCATCCGGGGTTTTCACTGCCGGAGACACGAGCGATACGGAGAAAAATGATATGAACCAAGCACTCCAGCCAGTAAATCTTCAAGGGTGGCATCGGCTTCAATTTGTACTTGGGAGTGTTTTTAATTAAAAACAATCAATACCCGAAAGCTTTGATTTTTCTGGGTTGAAAAATCACAAGTCACAGTAGGAGAACGCCAAATTGCCTTAGCTCGATACTACCGAAGACGCATGTAGCATTTATTAGAAGGCCTATTCTTAGGCAGGGTACTTTCAAAGCAATGAAAATAATCACAAACAAAAGAGTACAGTGGTTTGGAAGCGTTCCTATGTTTCTTCCGAGATCAGTTTTGCGTTTGCTACATGGCATTACCCCTGGATGCCTCGTAATTCTATACATTTGATTCCTTAATAAACACTAAACTAACAGATCATAGAAAACTAAAAGCTTATAGAAGGTGCCTCTAGACATATTTACAAGAATAGCACAGTCTCGCTGGAAAGACCAAGATCTCATTTTAGTGGAAAGCTTTTTCCACAACGCTGGGTCCATGCCTCATTTGTCAAATTAAACTCATTTGAAGAGAAATTTGAGTTTGTGGTCCATGGGTTTAAAAAAAAAAAAGGCAAGAAAGAAAGAAAGGAAGAAAAAGAATTAAGTAATTCATAAAAGCTCTTTTGAAATTAATCTAATAACCCAGTGGCTCTTCAGCTAAGTGCCCGGGTCCTGACTCTGACAGTGGGTAAAAGGCCTGTTTCCATCTGACCTCCTTTCGGCACTTTCATCTGCTGGCTCTGTCGGGCTAATGTTCCCCCCAAATTAAAAAATGAAAATGCATCATAAATAAGGTATTACAAAATGGGGAGTAGATTAAAGAGTGTCTCAGCAATGCTTAAATTAAATTGACGATGCAGAGACCGTAAACGTGTGGCTTTAAAAATGAGCTATTTCTTTATTAACTTTTAACAAGCATGCAAGTCATTGTATTTCTTTTCTAAGAGGGTATTAAATATGGTCAGGGTCTGATATATTTTAGTAGAGAATTATCCCTTCAGAAAATGATTCCATAAAGATGCCAGAGGGAGATTCAAAATGCTGCAACTGTAATAGCACTGAACTTTTCAGGAGACCATACTGAGATCCCGTATTTTCTGGAAAAGAAAGCTGCCTGTCAGACCTTAATGAAATACTTCATCCTCCAGAAGATCCACACACAACATCTTGATCTTTCCTCTCTTACAATCTGATAAGGAAGGCTGACTTCTAGTGTTAATGTAAACGCAGTAGATTTTTCATCTCCTGTCACAATTCAAAAAAGATTTCATCTAGATAAAAACACAAAAGATAAAATTACACTAAAATGATCCCTTTCAGAGGATGCCTTGCAAAAATAGTGGGGTCATGACTTTCTAGAGTGTTCTTCCAAAAAGTAATTACACTACTTCAAAATTAGTGACGAAGATACAATAATTTATTTGGTGGTGAATTTCCTGGGGGAAATATATTTAGCTATACCTGATTTAAATATTGAGTTTGCTCTCAGGATTCAACTCTGTTCTTTCCTTTCACTGCATAGTCTTTTTGGCCCTTAAGTATATATTCCAATAGAAGTAAGGAAAGCCCAATCATGGTATATACATTATTATCTCCAATAAAATATGCATTTCAAGACAAAACATTTGATATAAGGCCTTGTTCAGCAAATCAGGATATCTAAAATTTATGTACTTGACAATGAAACTAATGAAACATTCTTAAGTTAATTTGAATCCATAAAGTTGAGATGCTTCTAGGATAAAGATTTAATTTTAAGAACTTTTTTGCACAACTTTTTGGGAGCTAAAAATAAAAACTCAACCACAAGTCTTTATATTGAGTTAAAATTGAATAGAAAATAGACTTGCTCTAGCTGGTTTGACTCAGTGGATAGAGCGTCTGAATGTTTTTAAAATGTCAGCTTACTCCAGTGAACATCTTTGTGGTTTAAAGAAATTCTCCCCTTTGAATGGGGTCCGGGGATGGGATAGGCATTCAAAAATACCTCAAAGTTCCTGAAACAACCCATAAAAGCAATTTGTTTATATTGACTGGATTTTAGTTTCTCAGTAATTAAAGAAAATATTAAAATTTTACCACTTTCTATTTTTTCATACTTCTCATCCTAAACATCTAATATCAGGACAGAGACAATGAGAAAAGTGAGCTGTAAGATTTTAATTTTTTTTCTCCAGTCATCAGTTGTTTTGCTACTGGTCCTTGACCTGATGTTTTGATGGGAAGGAAGTTAGACCTGGGTCGAATAATGGAATTGTGATTCTTACTGTTTCCATGATGTCAAAGAGTCTTAATGGTAGGAAGATAGTACTTGATACTAACGGGACCCTACTGCTAAATATTCAGCTCCAGTCTCAAATTATCCAATTTCTTAAACATTCACTTCATCATCAGCTTCTGTGGTAGAGATTAAATAGTTATTTCAATATTTTGTCATATTCACCTGTTCTTGGTATACTGACTGTATCATCTCTAGGATGGGATAAAATATCTGGACACTTACATCTCAAATATTCTACTACAGAACTACTTACTATCACTTATGAGGAAAGAGTATACCTTACCCTTAAATATTGGAAGTTGCTAGTGTCAGTCCTCAGACTTTCCAATTAATGTAAAAAGTTCAAAAGGAAGACTTCTGCTGATAGTTTTTTTTTTTAATAGAACTTTCTTGATTCAGTTTGTTACATGACATAAAACATAATGATAGGAACTCTTTAATTTTCAGTAAGTCATGTGATTAAGGTGCTGGTCTATTGCTATAGATAACTAATTCTTATTAATTAACTTTACTAAGCTACCTTTTCCCAGTGCTTACCTATGACTATGATATGTGTTGATTCATTACAAGGAAACACTCCTGTAATATTTTGTTTGCATTCCTATGTGTGTGTGAAACTAGGAAAAGAAAAATCATAAAATAAGGGACTAACCTAACCATGAAATGGTGGTTAATATACAGGGAAATACTTTACAAAATAGGAAAACATTCAGGAAACAGAAGGAAAAATAGGGTTGTAAAAATTTTTCACTCTAAATGGGTAATCCGAAACACTACATTTCTTTAATTTTAAAGGTGCCATCTTTACTTCCTGGGTAATATGTCTATTTAAAACTTGACTAAATGACAGTGTATTTTCAAATAGAAATTATGTGCTGATACGACATTATCTCCAAATGGATATGACATTAAGATTATCTGTAGAAAATTAACATTAATTGAAAATAAATCTCTAAGATTAATAATTGAAGTCTTGAAGTCAGCATATTCATATATGACTTAAAAACAAACACGCCATATATATATATATATGGCGTGTTTGTTTTTAAGTTTTCAAAATAAGGATGTTTTTATTACAGTATTACAGTATTTTGGAAATTTCTGATGACTGCCCATGAAGATTCTAATGATAAAAGTCATTAGAACAGCCATGAAATAAATGATTTGAACCTGCCAAAAGGAATAGTTCAGTTCGGTTAGGTCTTCTGGGTAATAACTATGATGCTAATTGCATAATTAGAGAAAGAATAGATCTGGATGGATTGTACATTATCTTCTGTCTTCATTTGAGACCATCACTTTATCATTGTTCAAAGATAAAGAGAGCAGAGTTGCCATGGGAATAAAGTTAAAAACAATGAAAAAATATTAATGCTTTTGAAAGCCAACTATCATTTTAATTTTAATCTTAAACACTCTTGTTGTAGAGAATCCAACTTTTCCCTTTTAAGCATCTTCCAACCATGTCTTATGTAGGTTTTCACCATGATTTCAACGTTCATCTATATCTATCATGTTATATAAATATATAGGTGTTTCTGGATGTGAAGGACAGACAGGGTGTCAGGTTCAAGTGTGGTTGGCTCTTACCACCCCATTAAACTCTGAGTGGAATTTAAGTTGTATTTAATCTACCTTTACTAATGCAACTTAATTTAGTAAGAAGTATCTGAAGAACATGAGTTATGTACCTCACACTGCTACTTTCAAGTACATATTAGAATAATACTGACGACAACTACAGATAGGAAGTTAAAATTCATCTCAGAAAAGTTCCTTCAAGAACTTTTACACAATTAGACTTATTTGTAATCAACCTATGGACGGCTGGAAAAAATTCAAGTGGTCTGTGGTACATTTGGTGGCCCAGATTTTAAAATACGCTAAATATTTCCTTTATTAATATTATCAGCTAGTTTCAACTTTCCCTTCTATGGCACAAGGGCAAACTTTCACATGGCTAATATGTAACAAATTATGAGTTAGTGGTAAGGAATGAGGTCTTATTTATTTTGGTTGCTTTTGAATGTCACTATTTAATTTGCTCCTACTCCTTATGGGGGACGAGAATCTCAAAACATTGGTGGGTTATCATGCTTAGCGTAGCCACTGGTGTCAGAAAAAGCTCCTGAAGAACAAACAGGATGGGCAGATGCCATTTTAAATTCACTGTGACAGAAATACACACCCACATCTGTATAGTTCCTTGTCTCCTTGTGAGCTGAGATACCCAGGAACAACGTCACGGTTGTCATTCCTCCCTTATTTCTTTTTACTAAAACTATATTTTATCCTTACAAGAACAGTCCTTCATCCCCTTAGCATCGAAAGGTGGAGTCAGAGCAGTCAGCTGACCTGAATCCGTGGGTGGCGGACGAAAGGCCAGCCTGGGGGGATGAACTTGGTCCAAACTTCCCTGCAGGGAGCACAGGACGGGGGCGCGCCCTACTCTCCATCCTCTCCCCCAGCACGGTGCCCGCTGCTGGGCCTTCATGGTTCCGCTAGATGCACTAAAAAATAAACATTTGCCTCTTGGAAGCTCATAAAAGTGTACTAGAAAAAAGGTCTCTACCATTGGACCCACACGGACCGCAGCCACGGACTGTCTGACATGGGCGGGGACGGGGAACCCCTTCCCGGAGCAGGTGCGGTGCCTGGAGAGAAGGAGCCGCTGCTCGGGGCTCAGCATCCTCCCGCGCAGGGAAGCGACCGCCGGTTAGGAGTCCTTGTCGCTGTCGGCCCCTCCGTACAGGTCCGCCAGCTTCTTGAAGCGGGGGCCCCAGTCGCTCAGGTAGTCGTAGTCCTGGTCGCCATCGGTGGTGGCCGACTCCAGCGAGCTGAGCGAGGCGGCCACGGAGCCCGCGCCCTCGTAGGCGTAGGTGGCCAGCGAGTCGTAGGGCGGCGCCGTGGGGTCCGAGTCGTGGTCCTGGAGCCTCTGGGTGATGAAGTCGCGGACGTCGGCGTTGTCCCGGGCCGGGGCGGCGGCCGCCGGAGTCCGTCGGGGCAGGAAGAGGGCCTCGGGCGCGATGTCCCTGCGCAGCTTGCCGTCCTCGATGGCCTCGGGGTTCCGCAGGGTGCCGATGTCGAAGGCCTGCGTGTCCTCCTCGCCGCCGCCCTCGTCGTTGTAGCTGACCACGTTGTCGCGGATGTCCTCCTTGGAGATGATCAGCGGCTCCTTCTTCCGCTGCCGCCGCAGGGCCGCGAACAGCGCCACGGTCACTGCGGGCAGAAAGGAGACCACGTGTGACACGACACAAAACATAGTGATGAGGGACTCTTTCATGGTACAGGAAGTCTTGTGGATTAAGGTGCTGGTCTATTGCTATAGATAGCTAATTCTTTTTATGAGACTGATAGCTAATTCTTTTAAAAATATATATTTTATTGATTTTTTACAGAGAGGAAGAGAGAGGGATAGAGAGTTAGAAACGTCGATGAGAGAGAATCATCCATCAGCTGCCTTTTGCACACCCCCCACTGGGGATGTTCCCGCAACCAAGGTACATGCCCTTGACCGGTATCGAACCCGGGACCCTTCAATCCTCAGGCCGATGCTCTATCCACTGAGCCAAACCAGTTTCGGCAGATAACTTAATTCTTATTAATTAACTTTACTAAGCTACCTTTTCCCAGTGCTTCCGATGACTACAATATGTGTTGTTTCATTACAAGGAAACCTTCCTGTAGTATTTTGTTTGCATTCCTATGTGTGTGTGTGAATCTAGGAAAAGGAAAACCATAAAAACAGGAACTAACCTAAACATGAAATGGTTGTTAATATACAGGGAAGTACTTTACAAAATAGGAAAACAACCAGGAAACAGAAGGAAAAATAGAGTTGTAAAAATTTTTCAGTCTAAATGGGTAATCCGAAACACTACATTTCTCTAATGGTAACGGTGACATCGAAGGGAAGGGGAGGTGAATGCGCCGGCCAGTGCCAGCCCAGAGGAACCCTGGGCTCCAAGGAGCAAGGGGGCAAAGTCCTTCAGGGAAGGGCAGACTCAGCTTTTACTTCCTTAAGTGTGCACGCATTATTGCCTTCGTGCAGGATCAAGGCAGGACCCCAAGGAAACGGAGGGAATATTTGAAGGAAGGGTACCATTTAAGCAGAGGATAAGAACAAGAACAGACCCAGAGATAAGGAGCCATGGGTCAGACTGTTGGACCTCAAAGGGAGGGTGGGGATAAAAGGGAGAGATCAACCAAAGGACTTATGTGCACACATAGGAACCTAACCAGTGGTCAAGGACAATAGGGGGGTGGGGGTTGGGGATTGGAATGGGGGGTTGAGGACAAATATGTGATACCTTCATCAATAAAGAAATTTAAAAAATAAAAATAAAAAAATAAAATATGACAAATGTGTTCTAAAAAAAAAAAGATATTGCCAGATTTTGTCAGTAGGCCCTTTTTGCTTTGACATGACCAACTAGTTTTGAGGTAAGGAAAAAGAGGAAATGCTAAGAAAGAAGAAAGCTCAGGAGGAGTGAGAGGACAGCAGTAAGGGTGCAAATTATGCGGAACAAGGAAAGCGCTCCGAGCTGGCTTAGAAGCACAAGGCTGGCACCTTCCCAGAGTGTGGAAGGGTTTGCATAACTCCGCGTCTAAAATAACTTTTGCACTTCTTTTTTGTTTTCCCCGAGAAGAGGGTAAAATTAGTTTAAAGCCCGAAGTGGAGATGTGAATATTTGCATACCTTCTCCCACATCTGAGGGAATATTACAGATAATACCTGGAAAGACCCAGATACACTTCAGAAAGCCACTTCGGGTTTCACCATCAGCCCATCCGAGGGGGATTATTTTCGTTCAAGTTAAACAAAATGCACACATTTAAGTGGGGATGGAAAACAAAAAAAATCTTTCAAAGATTCACGTTCTGCCAGCTCATTGCCTGGATATTCAGTCTTTGGATTTTTCCTCCTAAGTCAAATTAGAGACGAAGGGAGTGTTGTGTTTAGATAGCTCCTGATGTGTCTTCCCAGCTGGCTGGCTAGAACACAGCTGGCTACCTGTAGAGACACACATCTGCAAATGGACAGATGGGTGGGAAAATAAAAACACAGCAACAGCTCAGAGAGAAAACAGCTACCCAGGGCAGAACATGCCTTGTTAAACTGAGTTTGTGCAGGGGACTTTGTTACAGGAAGCACCAGTAACATCTCTTTATTCTGTCATCCATAACACGGATCCATTTTTTTAATGAGCCGTGAAAATTGAATTATTGCATTAAGAACACAAACAGCAGTGCGGTGGTTGTCAGAGGGAGAGGGGTGTGGGGAGAAAGGGGTCCTAATATGAGGTGACAGGAGAAGATTTGACTTTGGGAGGTGAGCACATGGTCCTTTATGCAGATTTTGTAAATTACCAATCCACATATGAAATCTATATGTTCATGTTGACTAATGTGACCCCAATAAAATAAAATAAAATTAAAGAACAATTGATGGATATTTGTATCTACCTATATAATACTGGATACATGCCCACATTGTGTCTATACATAAACATTTTAGATGTTAATAGTACTGATGATTGGTCACCTATTGAGAGAGTTCTATGTGTCCAGCACTGGGCTAAGTGCTTTACATACTGATCTCATTTAATTATCATAATAGCCCTACAAAAGTAGCTCTATGTAATGAGGAGATAGCCAATTTAGTGGAGCTAAGGGAGCCCAAGGTATTACCATTATTAACTCCATTTTACATAGAGGAAGTTAAGATGTAGAGATGTCACACATACAAACAGTTGAAATCCAAGTCAGCCAGACCAAAAAGCCCGTACTGTACCATGCTTTGACACATGTTTGGATTATAGACCATTTCTCAAGGCTATACAGTTTTGCCTTTCTCAGATGTGTTGTTGTATACATTCTCTTTTGCTGTCAAGAGAGTATTCTGATGCCTCATTTGTCATGCCCACTCAGGGTATTTATTTATTCATTCATTCATTCAATAAATATTTATGTCATGCCTACTCTGTGTCAGGTTCAGTTCTTGGCACTATCAATAAAAAAATTGATCATGACTTCCGTCCTAATAAGGTGGGCAGGTGGTGGTGGTAGAAGGAGACAGAAAATAAACAATGTGCATAACAAATAAGGAAATTACTGAAAAGGTGATAAGTAGAGCAGAGTCAGGAGAATGTGAGTGCTTCCATGCATGTTTGAGGGGCTGTCTATTTATTTTGGGGGTAGATTGCATCATCAAGAAAGTGCCATTTGAGCAAAGACATGAGGAATCATCCAAGGAGCTCTCCTTGGTGAAGAAGTCAGAGCTAGAAAGCCCTGGAGAGGGAGTGTGCCTGGAGTGTTTGGGAAACAACTAGGAGACCCTGTGGCTGGACCAGGGGAAGCCGGGAGAGGAGAGCAGTAGGGAAGGCCCACCTCATGTGGGATGGTGGGTGCTTCTGTATGCCTTCACTTCATCTGGGGTCTGGATGGGTAGAAATTGCAGGGCTTCAGGCAAAAGGATACTCACAATCTACCTTTCTATACTGACTTGCAGAGTGGCCCGTGATATGGATTTGCAAAACAGAAGGTTGTGAGTAAAAGCAGTCTTTGGGATTAGAGAATAGGATCAAGCAAACTCACTCTCAGAGAATTAAACTCTGATGTCCATGAGTTTGTTCCATCATTGAAGGCAGGCATTTATCACTTCCTAATTCTTCCCCAGCTTGAGCTACCTACATCTTTTATTTTAGTCCGATGTGTACCTAAAAGTGCAGCTGTCTAGGAGGGAGAGGACATATTCAGTCATTCAAAGGCATTTATTCACTGCCTAATTCTCCTACAGCTACTACTGCCTAGATCTTTTCTTAGTAGCCTGAGGCACATCTGAACAGAATTTCTTGATAGTATAACTGTCAAGAAGGGAGAGCTTTCCAAAGCTAACTTTTATAAATGGAAAGTGTGTGATCTAAGCACACAGAGCAAAAAGTTCTGAGAGAGTAATTGAACAAGGAGGTGCCCTTCCCAGTCACTGAGCCTCCCCCTCCCCCCACTCCCTTGAGCAGAAGACAGTAATAAAATTATTTTGGAGGAGGAGACCTGTGGACAAATTTGTGCTCAAATCCCATCATATAACGTAGAAAGCAGCAAGGCATTGGGATCAGGCTTACTTAAAGAATTTGACTTGTCTAACTCTGTTTCCTTCTCTGAAAAGAGAGCAATGTCATAATGCCCAATGTTGTTATCAGGAATGAGTTAATATAAGTGAATGTTTTGCAGATTCTAAAGGACCATAAGACATGAAATGAGTGGTTGTTTTTGTAAATAAAACAATAGATGCCACTTTATCTTGACTGCAGATCCCCTCCTATTTGGCTTTCTGTCTCATAAACTCTCAGGTTTACTTCCACTTTCTTCATCCGTCTCTTCACTTCTGGTACTCTTTCAGCCTAGAAGTTACTTTGCATTCCGTAAGTTCACAAAGAAAGTAGAGTGCCATGTGGAAGCACAAGGCTCACGAGGACAAGACCTGAGTTTGGAACTTAGTTCTATCACCTGTTAGCTGTGTGACTGCACATCTTGGAGCCTCAGTTTTCATATTTAATATGCAGATGAATATATTGCCAGGTGGTGCTGAGGATTAAGTGAGAAAAACATTTGGAAAGTATCTTGCTCAGTGTCTAGCTCATGAAGTGAGCCTAGTTAAAGGTTAAGCCCCATTTCTCTTCCTTTTTAATGAGTATAGAATGCTGAAGAGATTAGACAAGATGTGGGAGGCACTGAGGCAAATTAGAAGTAATGAGGAGATAGTGAATTTAGTGGAGGGAAGGGATGAAAAGGGAGGGTAAAGGGGGCTGGTCAGGAAGAAGAAAAGGGGAAGGAGAAAAAGGGTAGGTGATGAGGGGAAGGAAGAAGCACCTCTAGAGATAAGAATCACTCTCCTTCCATAGACCATAAAAGAGTCCATGGAATTCTACCTGCTCATCCAGCCCTTCTAAAAATAACCTCTTTTAAGAAATAATATAAAAACCCCAACTATTCATGTTCTTCTCTTCCAAACCAGTTTTTACAGGATCACTATTAGAAGCACTGATTTGTCTTTGCCTACTGTCGTTTTTATTTATCCTCATATCTTAAAATACTTTCCCCAAAGATTAGATGACAAAGAGAATCACAGTTCTGCAGCTGAGTTTCGAGGCTTCTGTTATAATTAGCAAAGCTGATCTGGAATTTGAAGCTCTTGAGCAGAGATCCCTAGGCATTCTCATTCTCTTCTTGGAGAAATGTAGGTCTTACTTTGCTCTTCTCAAATTCACTGTACTGTCACCCGCCTCGGCCCCTCCCCTCCCCCCGGTGTAATCAGGTTAACACTAAATTCTTCCTTTTCTTTTCCCATTGTGTAGCAAGCTATATAAATCTAAGTTTTATTTTTGGAAGTGTTGCATTAAATATTTGATTTCTTAGTTCACAACAGTCAAGGTGCTGCCAGATCACTTTGAGCTCAGTTTATGTGCTTAATCTGCTGGTTGGGGGTAAAAAAAATTAATTTGAATTATTACACCTTGATTTTTGCCTTTCTTACATTTATATCTTTCAGATCCCAGGTTTATTTCCTTGGTTACAGAAGTTCTTTATTATTGAAAGTCTGAGAAATAATAGGTATTACGCATGGCAATTGTAGAGTAATGCTAAGAAGGTTGTTCTTTAAATGGGTCTAAATTTGCTGGGTTAGAGAAAATTTACTTGCTTTTTATTTTCCTGTATGAGAGAGAAAAAGTCATCACATTCCTCTTTCCAGTGTCCCATTGGTTTTTAAACTTGACCTTCATAGAAGGGGCCCTCATCAGACACTCCATGTCGGATGACTTCCATTCTTTAGAATTTAACAATGTCTGTCAGGTTAAGTATTAACCAACAAATGAAACCAAAGAGGGCCTGTTTATGCTACCCTCACATCCACCCTGAGATTCAGTCCCAGTCTGATGGTTAAGAGATGCTTTTAAGTCATGTTCCTCCCCTGCTCAGTGGCTCCATCCCACTCAGGAGGAAGGACAACGTCCTCATCATGACCCTGAGGCCCCACACAAACCAGCGGGTAAATACACTCCCACCCCAGGGCCTTTGCACTGTCTGTTCTTGGTTCAGTGGCTCCCTTGGAAGGTAAAAACACAGGAAAGTCCCACACCTGCTCATTCCCCAAAGCCATATTCAAGCAAAAGCTAGTTCATGGTCGAACAACACAGATTCTTAGCATGTAACTCTACTCACCTAGATCAGGCTGTATGCCTGAAGGGGGGAGGTGGGTAGAGTGTCACAGTAAGAGAGTGTGCCCCTCAGCGTGGGGAGAGAGGATGCAGGGAGGAGCAGTTTACCTAGTAGGATCACGATGCACAGCAGGATGGCCACCAGGGCCCCCGTGCTCAGGCCCGTGGGGTGGACGAGGGCCTCCGCGTGGCAGGACTGCATGTTCCCATGGTGGTCACATGCACAGACCCGGACAGTCACTGTCCCCGTGCTGCTCTGCACTGGGTGGTCGTTGTCTGAAATGACCACAGGCAGGAGATAGGTGCTCATCTCGTGTCTGTTGTAGCCATTTTTCCGCGTTAAGATTCCCGCTGTGTTGTCTGGAACAGGAAAGCAAATTGGTGAGTGCCTGTGGATGCTGCCCCATGTAGTGGGTCAGTTGGGAGGGGAATGGATGGATATAGGTACAGGCGTCAGTACAGAGATGGAGAAAGTCCCTTGGGCTCATGTACCTTTGTTGTCATGGATGGTGAAGTTGGAGCCACTGGCTGCTTCCGGGGCCAAATAGAAAGAGAATTGGTGCCCGCTCTGAGGGTCATCCTTGTCAACAGCTCGGAGGGTCTGAATCAACTGAAACCCAAACCACAAAGCTGTCAGCAAGTTTTGTAACTTAACGCATTTCCTACAGTGTTTGCAGTACATTGCTCTAGTTTTAATTTAAAAAATGATATCCTCTATAAAGTTTACAATGAGACTACTCTATGAAAGAACAGATGGGTTGGAAATAGCTATAACAGGGCAAATCCCGGAAGTGAGTCTGTTCTGTAGGAAGTTAGCAGCAAGCCTGGCCTCTTCCCACCCTCTTCCCTGTGATGATCAAAAATGCCTCAGACATTGCTAAATGCCCCCTGAGGGACAAAAGTCACCTAGGTGGAGAAACATCAGCTCTAGGGTGATACAAAACTATACATTATCACAATGACCTGTGACAACATTGTAAGTTAAGGACATGGAGGCAACCGGTGGCCAGCCTGCTTAGAAATGCAATCTAGGCATATACAAAAGCCATCAACTTGCAAAAAAGTTAAAAAGAAAATTGGTACATAAAACACATAACTTCAACTGCCCACGTTAGCACGCATTTAAAAAGTGCACTTCTATTTTGACAAACTGAAACATAATTTCTTTATCACTGGCAGAAAAAACCTATTTCAGTTGGGGATATAGCACTCATGAATGTGTATTACTTGTACAGATGGGCAATGTAAGTGAGTGGAACTATGCATCATAGGAGTTTGTAAAATATGTTGTAGTGATTACTTTCCAATATGTATGGTAATTAAAACTATATGCTTACCAATAAAGATTTTTTCCAATAAAGCTGTGACTAATCTACTTTAATGAAACCTTAAGGCTGATTTGGAATCAGCATCCGATTTTGAGACTGATGAACTTCCAGTTCTTAAAAAGTGTTTGTTCTCTTATGCAAGTTAAACATTCATCCTGGTTCTTACTTATAGTATTAATTTTGTTAGCATTCTCTTCATCGATAATTCAAAACTGGCCTTGGTTCTGTTTATCATATAAATTATTAGAGGATTCTAAATTAATCTGACTAAATTAATTTACTTGCGTATGAAACTCACCTGATCTGCTTTTGCCTTTTCACAGACAAAGGTTTCATAGAATTCAGCAAATTCTGGGGCGTTGTCATTGACATCTAGAACTTTAATATAGAGAGGTACTCGGCTGCTTTGCTTTGGATTATCTGCAACATGCCAAAACGAAAGGAAGAGACATTTATATGTTGGTCACCAGTCCCTTTTAGACAACAGTCACTCACCCCTACTTTCTCATTCATACACAGACTCCCCCGGGCTGCTGTGAGTACCAGAGAGCATTCAGTACCAATGTAGTCACAAAAAAGTAGAATTAGATCATTTGGTACTTCTGGTACATTAGGTACACTTGATAGAGATACCTGGGAGACACAGCTGCATGTGTTGATGGAATATAATTGGGTAATAAACATCAGAGTATAAAGAAAAGCTACCCTACAGAGGCCCTCTAGAGCAAGATTTTAAAGGAAGCAGATAGGTGGGGAAATGTGGACAAGGAATCATGGGGTAGGGGGATGCGTGATTGCTATTTTCTTAGTTTTTTAGTTTGAGTGTGAATAAGAGCTAGACATTGTGCTAAGCACTTAGCTACATTAATTTACTTAATTTGTGTAAATTTCTGAGACTACTGCCCCCCTTCTATAGGTGAGGAAACGCAGGCACAGGGAGGTTAGGTCAGTGGTCGGCAAACTCATTTGTCAACAGAGCCAAATATCAACAGTACAATAATTGAAATTTCCTTTGAGAGTCGAATTTTTTATTCTTCTAATGCCACTTCTTCAAAATAGTCTCACCCAGGCTGTGGTATTTTGTGGAAGAGCCACATTCAAGGGGCCAAAGAGCCTCATGTGGCTCACGAATCGCAGTTTGCCAATCACAGGGTTAGGAAATTTGCCCAGAGACAGTAAGGAGTAGAGCTTAGACTCATATTTGGATCTTTCTGACTCCAATGCCCAGGCTGTTCATAGAGGATGATAGAGCAGCATCAATATTCGAAGACCTGAGATTAACAAAGTTCTCTGATTGTCTTTCATGACAATCTTCTGGGTAGTGTAGTAAACTGGTTGCTGGTCTAAGAATCAGAAATTGGAGTCTCACCTCAGATTTCTTCTTTCACTTTGCTCATTTGTCTACTTGCTCATTCACTTGATAAATATTTAGTGAGCATCTAATACCTAATCTGTGCCAGCCACTATTTGGAGTGCTGGAACACATGGAGAACCCAACAAAGATCCTGCTTCCTGAAACTCTATTCTAGTGTGAGTAGCAAACTGTGAACATATAAAAATATATTGTGTCAGATGGTAAATGCTATGGAGAAATTAAACAGGGAAAAGAGGTTGGAGAGAGACGGATGTGTTACTTTTAATGGAATGACCAGGGATGGCTTCTTTGATGAGATGCCATTTGTACAGATATGAATGAATAAAAGGATTAAACCATGTGGCTATTTCTGGTTCTCTAGAGAGAGGACAGAGCAGGTGCAAAGGCCTTGGAGTAGGAGTAAGTGACCTGGATTTAAGCTCTTGGATTTGCATACAACAAAGGTAGTTAAGAAGGGCAATTTTTAAGCTCCTTTGTGTCTAACATTTTACGCTCACTATTCTTCCAAGGTTAAAGCTTCTGAAGGTGAAGTTTTGAAAGGTCTTTATTACTAGTGATTTCAAATATATTGTAGAAACTGTAAATCTTAAAAACAGAACATTTTAGGTACAAAGCTTAAAAATTGCTGATAATATAGAAAAATGGTACTTTTTGGAGGGAAATGATTTCATAATTTCAAAGCTTTAAATGTATCCTATCATTGATATCCACATTAGTCCCTCCACATAAATTCTGAAGAACAAATACTACCGTAACAAATTTGTAATGAGTTTTCATCACTATAAAAAAAATAATGTTTCCTTTTACCCATATTAGTTATTTATTTTTCTATTCAATATCCTTCAGCCACTCAAATCTCATAACTTATTCTGACAAAGGATGCTACTGTAATATACCATTTGATATGGAATGTTTTATACCAGACACCCAACTGAGTTAAATTTTTTTAAATAAAATGTTTATACTAAGTAAAAAGCCAAAATCTAAGAAATGTGCCATAATTTAGTAGAAGCCTATTTTTAAACATTTAAGTAATATTCTTCAAGATCATTTTTTTCATGCACTTAGTCCTACACATTGTGTTTACATTGCTTAATGTTCACTGTGTATAATCATTTTATTTGACGCCTTCCTTTGGCACTGATTTTCTTTGCCTTACATTTCATAGCGACTGCCATAAAATTCATTCTAAACATTTTATTGTGCTGCTCTTTTGGTGTACCATAGGAAAGTTAAAATTTATATCTCTTAATTCTGTAACAATTGAAAAATAAAAAAATAAGAGGATGAATATCCAAGAAATTTCCAAACAATGCCTACTTTTTAGAATATATTTGATCCCTTTTTCTCCACCCCCTCCTCCAATGTCTAACCATCTTAAGTAGCTCATTTTTTTCCCCAGCTGCTTCTGCAATCTTCTGGTTTATAAGCTTTTTGAAGTCGAATCCAACATGTACCAGTTCAACCCTAGCTGACACAAATGCTTTCCCATCTTATTGTTTCTAAACTGCTGAATTTCCACAGTTGCATTTGTGAATGAACCAACATATGTCTAGAGGAAACATTATTGCAAGTCATTACAGGGCTCTTTCCTTCAATATGTATTGAGCAGGGCCTGCTTTACCAGCCCTTGCTGGGATGCTCAGTCAATCGAGGACAGCATGGTATGGGGTTGGACTTACTGATCTCCGTTGCTATCACTGTAATGTTGTGCCACAGCAATGTTTCTCGGTCAAGAAGTTTCGATGTAAAAACAGAACCATTTCCAGAATGAATGTTGAATATTCTGTCCAGATCTGTGTGTCGATCGACAGAATACCTGGAAATGCAGAATAGAATTTATAAAGATTTTTTTCTTTGTATTCACTATTCTCACATCTTAAAACTATTCCCAGAAATCTGTTACATGAAATATTTTTTCTAATAGTAGCATATATTTGAATATCTGTAGCTTAACATTAAACAAAATATTCTGAGAAATTAGTTGTTTTCAACTGAGGTCTTCAATAGTAAACCCACTAGATAAGCTGCATGATTTTGAATATCATCACTGAAGTTTCTTTTTAAAAATATAATTTGGCCAACTTTGTATAGCAATTGTTATAATAACTCAAGTTTTTAGGACCTCAGAACTTTAATGTGTGTGTGTGTTTGAATAATTGGGATTATTGGCTATTTAATATTTATTTTATTTTATTTTAAAAATTATGTTAAAAGACGCAAAAATGGGTAGTGTGGCTGAGGTTAGTAAAGCAGGCAATGGGGTAGGGGTTGAGCTTGGGAAAAGATCCATAGTTGGACTGTAGAAGGGTGGGCTGGCCATGTTAAGAAGCTGTGATTTATTCTAAGAGTGATGTAGCTCTACCAATGGATCTTGAGCAGGAAAGTGTTATAATCTAAAACACACTTAGCCAAGATTTCTAGTTGAATCAAAGAGAATTGAGGAAACTGATTGGACGTAGATGACAAAAATGTACAGGAATTTGTGAAGAACAGGATTTGGGTAAGATCATAAGTTCCAGTTTTGACATGTTGAGGAATAAACCTTCAGAAAAGCCTGGGTTGAGGTTTCTAGTCTGATGGTCAAGATGAAAATCTGGACTGACAATCTAGATTCCCTATTCAATTCTTCAGGAAGAGAATGTCCTGGGAAGGAGAATAACAATGGGGACAGAATCGCTCAGAGGACAACTCTAAAACAGAGATGTGCCAGGACTAGAATGGTGCCCAGAGCAGTGTAGGAACTTGATAGATATTTACGGAGAGTTTGGAGAATTCAAAGAAATCAAGAGTATGTCTTAGAAACCAAAAAAGGACGAGTCTTCAACATGGAAGCTCATGGAAGACTAGTAGATTTTGAGAACTGTTATTGTCTTTATAAAGTGATCACTAGTCTTTGGAATAGTTGTGTAAGGTGGAAAGATAGTACATTCTGTTTTATGGGGGGTAATGTTAAAGAGAAAACTCAGAAGAAAGTTGATATGTTAAGGTCATTAGGAACAAAAAACTGCCTGTTTTAGCTGGATTCTCAACATTTATATCATGTTGGGTGATTTAAAAATATTGGCTCAGAAGAAATACAATTTAAGTAAATGATCTAATTAGTTATATACATATGAATTCATTATAAATGCTCTAAGAAAAATAAACCCTTGTTACTAATGTGTACAATGTCCATATTTTTTCAGTAAATTATTTTGATTTAAAATATAACTAGTGAATTATAATAAACAAGATATTTTAGCTTAATAAAATCTATTTATTCATTTAGCATGAGTCAAAATAAAACATACATCCAATTATTGCAGGCTATGCAAGCCTGGTTTTAAAGAGAATGAATGGCTCAGCCAGTGTGGCTCTGTGGTTGAGCATCTGACATATGAATCAGGAAATCACAGGTTCAATTTTCTTTCAGGTTAGATCCCAGTGTGTGGCATGCAGGAAGCAGCCAATCCAATGATTCTCTCTTATCATTGATGTTTCTCTCTCCCTCTCTCTTTTTTCCTTCTGAAATTAATAAAAATATACTTAAAAAAAGAATGAATAAAGATCACAATGGATCTCTATTGACCAAGTTGAGTTAGAATTTTCATTTCAATTAATAGAAACCTAATGTTTTATTATCAAAAGGATTGAAACAGATATATTAGGTCTTATTTTTTGATTTTGTCATGAATCAACATTATTAAGAATTTAGGCAATAACATTGAACTTGCTTGATCACCTTAATTTTTAATCTGCGAATGATAAATATTTACATATTAATTAAAAGTAATTAGTAATAAACCAATAAAAAGAAAATATCAATATTCATAGACTTTGTAAGAAATTTAATAATTATCTACAAATATATGTTTTTCCTCGTGAAATATATCAAGCTTAAGATGTGTTGCTTATTGCCTTTATAAGCTGTTACAGCAGTAATCTTTTCTTGTTTTTTGCCTCTTTTTATCTTGCTATAGTTTTAAGTTTTATAAGCAATCATATTTTCCCATTAAGCCTTGACAAAGAGGTTACAAGGAACTTCTAGTCAAAGACAGCTTTACGTTTTACTTATTTCTTTAAAAGTAAATACCAAAATGTCTATATTTTTTCTTTAATTGGGAGATTTAAAGATTAATAAAAAACCTAAAATATTTAGAATGTTTAGGAAAGATGATTGCACACAAAGCCTTATATATTTGTTGTTTTTCTTTCCAAAGTACTTTCAGTTTATATCCAGGCTATTTACTGTCTAGTCCCATTAATTCTAATCATAATTGGTAAGGAACAAGGTAATCAATCCCACCATGGTGGTAGCAGATCATTCTGCTAGATAGCTCTTTTTTTTTTCTTTCTAAAACTTTATTGTATTCTGTGATTTAATAATTCATCTTCTAATGCATCCTTAAGTCAGGAAGATTTGAGGGTTAGGAAGGAAGTGTGCATGCATGTAACTTTTTCACAGTATGGATTCATAGTGACATTTTATAAGGCTCTTTCATGGAAATCAAAGGTCATTTTTGATGGTTATTGGATGAAAATTATTTTATGTTATTGAAGAGTTAAAGATTTGTGCCTGCATAATGATATATCAATGTTTGGGGGAGGATTCTTAAGCATTAGTTGTAGATTTAACATATTGTCTAGCACCTAGCAGTTCAATATATATGGATGTACTTTCCTAATATAAGAATAAGTTTATGCTACAAAAGAAATCAATGGCATATGTACTTATACACCAATATTTTTATGTGTATTTCTATCCTTAAATCTATATTTATACATCAAATCCATATCTAGCAAGGGAGGGCTGGCAGAAGGAAACTTCAAAATTAGCTGTCAGCCAACCTAGTTTGACAAACTCCTTATTTCACAAAACATAATATAATGCAGTGGGTAAAATGATATAAAAAGAAAAATAGACATAAAAATTCAGCCTAAATTTCCAAAAGACATTATTTCTTCCAATTAAAAACAACTTGCCCAATCAAGGAGGTAAACGATGCTCTTATTTGTCAACCTCAGTATTAGCACTTTTAAGTTGGTCTTGACATTGACTTCTAAGGTTTTTTTTTTACCTCACACAGTTAGAACAAACTCCAAGTGAGAGAATAGTTGTGAAAGTACTTAAAATTATTTGTGTTATAAAGTTAAAGCATCATTCATTTTCCTTATTAATAACACTAATGTAAGTGGAGGAGCACTTGGTCCATGGAGCTCTCATGCAGCTCCTTTGAATTGACCATAGTCTAATTCAAGGAGTCTAGATATTCCAGTAGAACGATGAAACAACATGATTTAAAATTATTCTCTGAAAGTAATCCAGGCATTTTTGTGTTTTAGATATGGGACTTGCCACAGGTTTCATGCGAACAAAGGGCTCAAAGGCAATAAAGTTAGAAAATGACTGCCTTAGAGTCTCAAACTCTTATCTGCAATAATATTTTTCCAGCACAGCCAATGTGATCCTTTAAAAAAGTACTTTTGGGTTAGGTAACACTTCTACTCAAAGCTCTCCAATGGCCTTTTACCTCAATTAGAATATAATACAGCCTTTACTAGGCCTACAAGCCCCATAGGCCTTTACCACCCATCAAACCTCCTGTGGCCTCATTCCTATCGCTCTGGCCTCACTCACACTCTTCCCTCTTTATAGGCCTCCTTGCTATTCCTTCTGCGGGCCCAGCATTCAGACCTTACCCTTGCTTTTCTCTCTTCTTGGAATGTTCTTCCCCCAGATATCAGCATGGTTCATCCCTTCATTTCATTCAAATATTTACTCAAATTATTTCCTACCAAGGCCAAGCCTGATCACACTATCTAAGATAGTTTCTCATATACCTATTGTCTTCATATCATCTTATTTTATTGCTCACAATTTATTTTTACCTGACATATGACAGTATTTAATGGTTGCTTATTTCTGTCTGCCCCAATTAGAATGTAAGCTCCATGAAGCTGGGGCTTGTTATCACTCTCTGTTGTTTCCCTGATGCCTCCAACATGCCTGGCAGGTGCCCTGATTAGGATCGATTATGGACTCCCTGGCAAGACTTCCTCTAGCTTCTCAGTCTGCTTGCTTTCTTTACGGGGAATCATTTACACAGTGATATTCTGGTTTAGCACTTTTCTGATGTGGTCAAATAGGCTACTGGGTAAAATCTGGAGGTGGGTTTACTTCCACGCTTTCGTGCTAAGAGTCTAGAATCCTGAAGCATCCCTGTCTCCAAGAACAACGAGGCTTTTCCTAAAATATGGTTTACAACTAAGGTGTAAAGGAAGCACAGGGAAAATAGAGCTTACACAGTATAAATTGGATTCAGCTCTATTCATTTCCCCAGGATTTCACAGACATAGATCATGAAATGGTTCTCATTCTTATCCACTTCTGCGGAAGAAAAAAATTATACATCCAAATGGAGCGGAATTCTGCCTCAGAGTGTTACACAATAGGCCTTCCACACTTGAAAAACACTTTCACAATGCTTTCTCCACACTACTCTGTAACAAATGTAAGATCTTAAAAAAACCCCCACACCATTCGGGGGTGTTACATTATACCACTTTAATGGAGGAGCTCCTTATGGCACGTTCTATATCTACCTCCCCCCCTCCCAATTTTGTTTTTAAAGTTATGCTGCTGATAAAATAATATTTACGTTGAGCAAGAAGACGAAAGGTGCTGTTTAGAATAGTTTTTCAAGAAGATGCTACTGTCAACTTGGATAAAAAGGATTCATCTTTTCCAGCTTGCAGACATATTTTAATATAAAGCCACTGAACCTTATGAAAGAGATGTGTCTCAGAAGTGTGCTTACTTGACAGGGTTCCGGGCAGCATCTGGGTCCTGGGCTGTGACTGAGCCTATTGCCGTGTTTATTTGAGCGTCTTCTCTTATTTGCAAGATGTAGGCTAGTTTGCTGAAGACGGGGGGCTCGTCTACATCTTCCACCACAATCCTCACCGTGGCCGAGTCCTTGAATGGGCCCAGGTAGAGAAAGCGGGGTTCAACATGAGGGTTGGAGGCTTCCACTTTGAGGGTATACACTTTCTTCTTTTCAAAGTCCAGCAGCTTGGGTGGGAGGGAGAGGGAAAGGGACATATTTAAAGCAGCCAAGACACAGAAAGCCAAGATATCAACTATTTTTTGTATAAATCACTGATGAATGAAGAGGGTCCTATTGCTTAGAGACATCACCACACAAAGCCATGGGAGCTCACAGGGCTCAGAACCTGAATGAAAGTGGGAGCAGGGTGTGTGGTGTAATGGTCAGGAAAGGGAACCTGCAAACAGGAGTATGTGAGTCACCCTTTAAAATAAATCCTATGTGACGAGAAGGAGCCATACAAGGGGCAAGTTGGTGAATATGTGGTAGAGTATTCTAGGTCAGGGGTTGTCACATCTGGCTTTAACCACACACATTAAACCACAATGTCTGGGGGGACGGGGTGTGTGTGGAATGGGAATTTATACTATTAAACACCTGCCCTGGTGATTGTAATGTGCAGCCAGAATTGAGAACGACAGGCTTGTATCATGATTCCCTGTTCCTCATTCAGATAAAATAGATTAAAAATGGTGGTGTTTTTTTTTCTTTCTTTTTTTCTTTTCTTTTCTTGTTGCAGGAGGTGATAACATATTCCAAGTGTTATCTCGATAAGGGCATTGGGCTAATTACTTGCTAAAGAAAGTAATGATCAGTGTTGTCAGAGGTCTTTAGGAAAAGCATCTCTGCTTTTGGAGACACAGTGAACCCGCATGCTTATTGCTGACTTTTGGTTTTGGATAATAATATGACAAGGCTCACTAGAAACACAATTAATCAAGACATTCGAGAATGTGATTTAGTCAGCTAGGCAAAATTTCAGTTTGAATCTGATAAGGCACCAGAAAAATTAAAAAGGTTAATGGACACTAATGGGCTTCCTAATTATATTAGAGTGTAAAACATTGGTCTGAGTGTCACTTAAACATGCGTTATTGCGTTTCCAGTTATTAAGACCTGTAATCCGAAGCTTAAGAAAAAAACATTTTCTTGTTATTTACCTTTCCCTATAGTTCATTATGCCTGCAAGTATAACAGTGTGCTTAAGGAGAGGGAAGACATTGATGGAGAAGTCAGTAAAATGAGTAACCAAAATTAATATTATTTTTAGCTTCAAAGCAAATAGGTTATTGGCTTTAAATTTTGCCACACTTCTGTATAGTACTCTGTAGTACTAGGCAAATGATGCAGGGATAAACGGTGAATAAATACAGAGGGGACACACAGGAATTCAGAGTATTAAAAATGTATTATTGTGTTCCAGAGAATAGCTAAAGAGTACATAGGAAATTTGTATTACTTAATTTTTTTGGTGGTCTTTATAATTCTTCTCAATCTAATTACATTCATTGTTGTTATTGCTTGTATTCCTTTTCTTCAAAGCATGTATCAGGAATCATAGTTATGCATGCTTTATTTACTTATTTGCTTCCTTGTCTCTTTTCTCCCTATACCAGAAGTTCCATGAGAGCGAGACCATCCTGCTAAATGGACCATTAAACATTCAGTATCTAGAACAGTATCTGCCACTGTTTTTTCATATATTGGTTCATGTCTATTATTTATTTTAGATACTTTTTTTGTATATCATTCATTTATATCATCTAATTATTTAGAAGGCCCTTAATACATTTTATTGAAAGTAAGAATGAATGAATCCATAAGATTATTGAGGACCCCTAAAAGCCAACCAAAGAGATCTCAATGTAGTTAGACTTGGTGTTTTGAAAAACCAATCAGTAGATGCAGAATCCAGAGGAATGTTCATGTGAGATGTGATTGCCCCCAGTTCCTTGGGCAGCAGAGAAATGTAAACGCACTCACTCATTGGCAGGGATTTACCCAATGGCATTACCTTTTTGACAGTTATAATCCCTTCCTGGGTCTCCTGGTCAGTGATGACATCAAACATGTCCAGCCCCTCTCCCTCTGTGATGCTGTACTGAATCGCAGCATTTTCTCCCACGTCGGCGTCAGTGGCTCTGATCCTGCCTATTGATGTACCCGGTGGAGAAGACTCAGGGGTGGTAAACTGGTATGTACCTATTAATCACCAGAAAAATGTAAGTCAGACACAGGCTAAGGGTACTCTGTCAGAACAGAAATGAACCCATTTTCCAACAGTTTTTTCCGACATCACCGTGGATGCAGGCTGATTTGTGCTTTTTTAAAAATAATGAATGGTGCCCTATACCTCTCCATCTTTACTTTCATGATGGTTAAGAATATTTCTTTTGTTTCATCCCTGTCTCTTTGCAAACGGAGAACACTTTTCTCGTTCTGTAAGTAGGTGTGATTGTGAGGAAGACTGAGCTGGTAGGGGCGGCTGCAGTTTGCCAAGCCTCCTGTGAATGTAACCAAGCACAAAGAGTAGAAAAGAATTTAACCTGAACTGTGGCTTTAAGCCAATTACTAGGGGTTTTTTGTTTGTTTTGTTTTTAAGAGTTCTTGCTGTCATTGCTAATAACAACTGAAGGTTAAAGTAAATTATAGCAATTTGGAGAATTTACCCTAAGCAGACATTTACTAAACATAGAACTGGTCCAGTCGCAGTTAGGCATACAGATAAATACACTGAAAGATAAAGCTCTTCTTTTTTCTTTTAACACAATGTTTGTTTAAGTTTTGTTTATATTATTTTTTCTATGCATAGATTCCCCCCATTCTTGAATTCATATCCCTAATTCAAAACCCATATTTCATAGAAAGACACTTTGCTTATGTTCTCATGTTGCAAAATTGGTTTAAGGAGATAATATGTGAATTTCAGTCTAGATCTGCTAGGCCAGCATGTACCAAGGGCCAAAAAAGTAAAACAAATGTATTTTCTCATCCAATACATTTTGCCAACCATTCATGCAGATTGTTTTGGGGGGAAAAATTGGACTATGACACCACTAGAATATTGTCCTTGAATAATATTAATCCACTAAGTAATGGGCTCATCGTTGGTAAGCGGATAACAGTTTTCTCTGGTGTATTCAACTTCCATTTGGGGTGCCTCCTCCCCCTTTCTCTATTCTCCCCTCTCTTGCCTCTGTACATTATTCATGAATGATCACAGGCTATCCAAGGAGAGAGGAGGATGACATAAGTTACTGTGGCATCAAAGTGCCCATCAGTCCTTTTATCTTTCTCCAGGGCATTTCCACATGGAAAAGGGGTAGTTGGGGATAAGTTGTTGGTAATCCTGATATTTTTACTTCAGGCCCCTGGGGGATAGTATAGGGTTCCTAAAAACGTTTCTCCTACCCATTAAATCAGAAATTATTTAGCTACACTATTTTTGCATTTAGCTAATTATGATTAATTAGTGGACAAAAACAAAGAAAATAGAATTATTTCCTATTGATCCATGTGGATCTCCATTATATAAGAAGCCTATATAAGCTGACTGACTTTTTAAAATGCCACGATCGAGTAAGTGGGTTTTCTGTTTAATAATGGGCAGCTGTTTTTTTTTTTTTCCTGGAAGACAGGATTCAGGTAATTTTCCAAGGAGACCATAGTCAGAAAGGAATTTTGTTCCTGGGAGAAAAATTATATTATAACTAGTACTCCCTGAGGTGCTCTTGGTGGAAGGGGCTAATGCTCTGCTAGATACAAAGTGGGCATTTGTGAAGGCTGTTTTTCCTTCTCGTTTCTCCCTATATAATCATGAGAGTTAATGGTTTTGGAGATGATTTTCGGGATCTCAATTAACCATTATGTAGAAAAGTATTTTTGAGCACAAATGGATTAAGTGCACAGTTATTTCCACAGATGTATTTTTAGAAACAGTAAAATGATAAATCCTCCTCTTACGAGGCTTCGTGAGGATTTAAAAGAGATTACATGGCTGATTAAATTCACAAAATATAAAGTCAAATTTTTTTCCTAACAAATAGCAGCATGCTTGTATGCGTATGTTCTGAGCAAGCAAATTTATATCCGTGGTTGTCTTTTTAATAAGGAAAAATAAAACGATGATGTTGCATTTGCAATGACAGCTATATCAGAAATCGCTTGGATAGTTTCCAATTCAGGAACCTAAATGTTCACATCTCCTGAGTGTAAACGTTGTCAACTCATTCTTAATAAAAGTGTCAGTTCTCACTAAGTTTGTTAATTCTGACAATTAATAGCGACAATCAAAAATAAGTATCATTCTTCAATTTAGAGTTTTACAAAAGTGCACTGAAGAAATTCATCATTCAAATGTTCCTACTTTGAGGAAACCGGGGAGGGTTGTCATTGACGTCTGTCAGTGTGATGTTCACCGTGGTGGTCCCTGATAATCCCCCCATCTGGCCGGCCATGTCCTTGGCTTGAATCACCACTTGGTACTGCTCCTTGTTCTCTCGATCCATGTTGAACAAAGCTGTCTTGATGATACCTAGGGATATGAAATTCAGAAGTGGAAAGGAATATATTAAAAATACTTTATGGAGTCATTTATTTATCAAACACATAGATTTTCAGCCACAATATGCATAGCACTTTGCAGATGTCATTGTTGACATAAAAATGATTATAGTTAGTCTTTATACGAAAGGAAGTGAAAACCACATAGGGGAGAGAGGTGCATTTAAAAGAACCACCTACAGTACAAGAATAATAAGTCAAATCCTGCAACTGTGGAGAATGTAAGTGGTATAAATATTAATTGTTAGAAGATGACACAGCGAAGTGAACTTGGCGTGTGGCCCAGAGTATACCACCGAAGTTGCTTGATATATTTAGGTACATTAGGAGGCGATTGGTAAGAGAAAGCCATATACATGAACTGTCTTGAGTTTCACTTTACTGAATTGGCTAATTGCTCAGCAAATATACCCACCATAATGAATGTTCTCAGGATTCTAGTCTAAACCATGAAACTATGGTTTAAAAAACCCCACAGCATCAGTTCTTTCATAATCATCATGTTGTGTGATCCAAGAGATTTTAAGATTTCCTAAAGCTGATGTGAACATTAGTTCTGCTGGCCCCAGCAGTGACCAAGATTCTCGTTAAGTGAAGTTTATCTCTGTTGTTAAGTAGTTATAAAATAAGTTGGAAGAACTTGTGAAAGTTTGCCCAATTTCTTAGGTAGGTTTCATGCTTAAATTAACATTCTTTCAAAGATCACTGGAGAAGGCTTTTAACTCTCTCTGGTAGCACATTCCAGTGCTGAACAGCCATGAAACTGAAAAGAAAAAAAAAGAAAAAAGAAAAAAAAAAAAAAGATCTTCCTTGTTTTTAACAAGAATAATACCTCAGAAAACAGGTCAGTTTCATTCCCACAGTCCTGGCTTCATTGAAAGTGGAACTGTTATTTCTGTTCTCCAAACAACAGTATTTTTATCTAAATAGCTTAGCCTTGTGTTCTTTAAGTTGAATAATTCTAATTTTTTCATTCTCGTTGTTTTTAAACTCAACATTTTCTTTCTCTTTGGGCTTCTTTCCAAGTTTATTGCCCCTCTTAACCCACCAATTTCCAACTGGATGTAATAACCTAGGAGGGTTTTGATTTCTACTAAGAATAACAGAAGCTTGAAAAATGTTTCAAAGAAACTCCACTCCTATTATGACAACAAAAATAAGTGTAGAATTTACTAGACAGTACAAATGATGTTCCCTAAAAAGATTCATTATAAGATAGAATGTTATTTTTTCTATAGAAATTGCAGAAAAAGGAGATGTTGAAAAAAAGTATTTCATTAAGGCAATACACTTTTATTAGGGCTATCTCAGTCTGGATGGGGGAGACAATGAGGTAACAACACAGAAAGCAAAATCTCAGTGGCTTAATGCAACCCAAGTTTGTTTTCTCATGCCTTGAGCAGGCTAGCAGGTAACTCTACTCATCATAATACTCAGATTTCTGGGCTAGAGAAGCATCTCAGCTTTGGCTCCCAAGTGGGGTCACTGTGGCAAGTGGAAGGGTACACCAGGTCAAAAGTTCCACTTGGAAGTAACTCACATCACTGCCACGTTTTATTGGACCAAAAAAAATCATATGGCTACATCTAGCTTCAGTAGAGAAATGCAGACCTACCAAATACCTAGAAAAAGAAGAATTGGAATGTTTGTAAACCGCCACATAACTATCAGAAGGACTTGATCTTTTAGGTTCCTCCCAAACTGGAAGAAAAAAAAAATAAAGCAATGTATAATTGCTTCAGAATATGCCATATAGTGGGTGAAAGATCCATTGTTGTATTTCTTGGTTAAATGATCTGGGTGTTATGTTTATAAATGTATCACTGGTATTTGGCAGACATATCTAAAAAAATTCAATCACGTGGATTGTTTTATTAAAAAATGTGCTAGCTTAGCCGAGCATGAAAAGGAAAATTACAGATTGTAAAAAAGAAGATAAGAATGGAATTCTAACCTGTTTCCGATTCAACTGAGAAATAGGGCTGCCCCTGCAGGATGCTATAGACAACTTTAGCACTGTTTCCATATGTTGGATCATCAGCATCGGTGGCAGTGACTTGGACAACAACTGTGCCTGTAATGACAGAACATGAATTGAAAAGACAGTAAAGGGCCCATTTCCGATCCCAGATAGGCACACATAAAAAGAAAGCATGCTCTTACTTTTGTCAGAATCTATCATGGCAAGACAGCGGGGAACTTCAATAATAAGCTAGGTTAAAAATACTTGGATCTCTCACTCTGAAGGAAAGTGATTGACATTTATAAATACTGTAAGGATCGGATAAAGGGAAACATGGGAATGATCATGACTTTGGTTGGACCTGATCTCAATCCATTTCCAAAGGTGGGATTTGATTGGCTTCTTGCTATGGTACTTCTTTTAAGTTATCCAGGCCCTAGTCAATTGGAATCTTGCATTACTTTGTCCATAGGGATTACTTTGTCCACTCATGATTTTGCTGGAAATTCTGTCATTGGTACTCTTTCTACTGGACTAGGATGTGCTGAAGAGAAGCCTGAAAATGCAGTCGCTGTTTAGTGACATTAGAGATGGCAGGCTGAGAACAAAGCTGAACAGAACAGAGAATTTAGGGAAAATAGAACTCCAGTCAAACTGTGTCTAAAGCCTACTTCATTTCTGGGCTTAAGTAATGTGACCAGTAAATACATCTGTTGTTTAAAGTAGTTTGAATTGAGTTTTCTGTTACTTGCAAATAAAAGCATCCTAAGTGAAAATCTACCTGATAATTCTAAGAGATTGAAATGCCTTTAACTTTAAGTGAGGTAGTGTTGGATTAAATAAAGAATTAATTGAAACAACAGAGGATACACATCTGGTATCTGTAATGCCTAAAATGATCGTAATTAAATGTACAAAGAAAACTGTGGTGTTTTAGATCAGCACTCTTATTTTAGGGAATGAGAGTCACCTAATAACCTTTGAGGTATCCTTAACTTCCATAAAATTCCATGCAAATGTTTGTGTATATGCTTGCATGTATATTTCACTGAAGCTCCATGAATTTTTTAAATCTGATAGCAAAGGGGTCTGTGACTTACAAAAAGATCCTCTGATTAAGATCCTTTTGTGGCTGACTTTTGAAATTCCTGGTAGATAAATAGTAAGCATGCCACCAGGGTTCTCCTGTCTATGAACAGGGCAGGGAAGCTACATTTAGGGAATACTAGAATTTTTACATCGCTTGGGTACTATCTAACCAATGCATATATAGAACAAATACACTGCACTGCTAAGGTTGGCTGCTCTGGATGCAGCATGTTGGTGCATGAGATAGAACACACGCCTTTTTAATTCAATGAGGGACTTGGGGAGAATGAGAACATCATGATTTTAGAGTGAGAGCTAATAGCAGAAGTCAACAAACATGTTCTTATTTGACATCAATACAAATCTAATAGCTTTTAGGATACGACTGTCTGGACGTTTTGAGCACTTGTGAATAGCCAGATATTTATTGTACTGGGGGCTGTGCACTTGTTTTCTCCTCTGTCTTCACCTTGGAAGTTGACATCCATTATTTATTTGTTAGAGATATGGAACTGGAGGGTGAGAGAAATCAAGTTATTTACCAAAACCACACTTATGTTAATTAGTAGAGGTAACTTCAAACTCAGGTCTGTTTGATACCAGAGTTCACTTTTACTAGTCTGTTGTTGTTTCTTTATGTAATTTCTTTAAAATGCTTTTATATATCAGAATAATGACATGTTAATTTATGATAACGATGACTATAAAGATACCCATGCCTGTATGCAAATTAGAAAAAGACCTCCCTTTCTCAAAATATGTTTCTGTTTAGCCATTCACAAATATTTGTATTACATATTTAATTCTATAGTGGCTTCAAATGAAACAGAAACAGACTCATAGATACAGAGAACAGACTGACAGCTGTCAGAAGAGAGAAGGGAAGGGGTCTAAATGAAAAAGGTGAAAGGATTATCTCACAAACTTTATAGACAGATAACAGTATGGTGATTACCAGAGGGAGGCAGAGGAAGATAAAAGGGGGATAAATGGTGATGGAAAAAGATTTGACTTGGGTCATGAGCACATAATATAATATAGAGAAGATGTATTACAGAATTATACCCCTGAAACCTATATAATCTTATTACCCAATGTCACCCCAATAAAATCAATTAAAAATTAATCTCTATGTACAAAAAAGTCAATGGAACCCCTGAGAGTTGTTCAGTGACAACTTGCACATCTGGTTATGGTTGTCCTGGGTGGCATTGATGACAAGACTATTCTTTATTCATTCTTTCTGTCTTTTACCACCAAATGGAAAAATATTCTTCCTAACAAATCTATCTTTTAAAAGAATTCTAATCCTCCTATTTGCTTGGTGATAATCTGTGATTTTTTTTCCAAACAAAACAAAGTGGCTTTAGTAAATGAGATGAGCAACTTCTTCATGAGAAAATTTAGATGTTTTACAAGCATTTCCTTGGTTTAAATATTTTCAAAGTCTTGGAACTTTGGATTGAAACAGCTGTGATATATGACTCAGAATTGTAGAAACATTTTTATTATGTAATTTAGCTCTTTTGAATTTGATACTGAGTGAAAATTAAAATAACTCTTACATGAGTAGTTTAATATTTGTCATTGTCTCCCATGAAGTATATTAATGTGGCTAAGAATGATGTCAGTAGGATTTTTTTTTCTTAGTTGAAATTCTGTCTACCTGCTCCCAATCTAAGCAAATTAAATGCACACATATTAACTTTAAAATTGGTAGAATTGTGCACAAAATGTTAATTTACCATATTAATGTCATTTACTAATTTCCACCAATTAGTAAAGTATATCTCCCTTAGATATCCTCTGCATATTTCTATGGATTGAAAAGAAGTTTTCTTTGAATCTCTTCTCCAAATATACAGTCACTTAAAGCAACAGTCATTACTCTTTAGTCTGGACTGTAAATCCAGGCTTTTGTTTTCCCCTGGGGAGATTCTTACTTGGAGCCTTAATGCCAGAACATGCATTAGAAATAGAGAAGGCTGCTGTTTTCCAGCCCAGGAAATAGAGTAGGGATTTAGGGTGAGAGAAGTAGATGAGATGGCTCTTTCTTTTTCCTACTCTCACTCTACCCTCATCTTTAGAGGAAATGCAGTTTTCTTAAAAAGGATAATAAAGTGAGACTTGAGTAGTATTAGGAAACATGGAGGTACTTACAAAGGGGACATAAGTAGACTGTTTGAAATATGGTACTTTAGAACTTAACATCTATATTTATTCAATCAGTAAATTTCACTCATAGGATTCTTTGTTCAGTTGATGAACTGGAAGAGAAGCATTGCCTGGTTGAAATCACATCCCACTCACCCACATCAGACATTTCGGGAACTGTGGCTGTGTAGACCTCCTCAGTGAATATTGGTTCATTGTCGTTGATATCATGGATCTTGATGACAAATTCAGATTCAGGCTCCACAGGAATCCCAGTCTTTTTATTTACAGCTTGAGCTCGAAGGATGTAAGTAGGTTTTTCTTCCCTGTCTAACCTTCTGGTGGCTTGTATATCCCCTGTGTTTTCATTGATAATGAAGAGATCTCCTGCTCCATCTCCTGAAAGGATATATTTAAGTGATCCATCTCCTTTATCCTGGTCTGAATGTAACTAGTGTAGAAAAAAAATTAAAGAAAGTAAAAATCAAACGTGATTCTGAACTGTTGGTCTTTATGATGCATGCTTTCATTCAATCCTTTCTAAGGGATGAAGTTCTTTTCTTCTACTATTACTTCAGTCCCCCATAGTAAATACCATTCATTAATGAACATGTTTCCTTATAATCATAGAAATTTCCAGAACTGAAACAGAGCTTGGAGAAAATTTAGTAATCCTTATTTTGAAGAAGGGAAAACCAAAAGCTAGAGTAATCACAAGACTGGCTGGAATGAAACTATTTTTACTACAGCTTTTAGATTCTATTAATATACTCTCCTCAATTTTATGTATGCAGACATGCTAAAGAAGCAATATATTATTTAAAAAAGGATTTTGGTTTTGAGTCAGAGAGACCAGGTACATTCTGCTTCTATATTGAATTTAGGAGAGCTAGTAAATCTCTTTGAGTCCAATATAATGAAGACTATAATCAATTTTCTACAAGAAATTTATATATTTATTTATAAATCAATGAATGAAATTCAACTCGAAGCATTTGAAAAACATCTTAAGTACCGCTATGGACATTGCCTTGAAAACCGCCAACTACATCATTTACAAGGTCACTGGGAATAAGAACATTTAACACTTAGATTTTAGTTTAACATGGGAAAGGACCACTTATAAAGCAGAACTGCCTAAAATTGCATAGTCTGTCTTAGGAAGTAGTGGGTTCCTGCTCATGAAAGCAATCAAGCAGTGACTCTGATATGGTTAAGTCAATGCAATGGGTGAGGACAAAGGGTTGAATTAAATGAATGTGAGGAGACCTTTGAATTGGAAGAGGATGGTGGTAACTGGAAAGTAGCCCATGTTACCTAATTCCAAAGATTATTTCCAAAGAGTTGACTTCCTATTATTTCCCTTTTTCCCACTTCAGCAAGCATATCTCATAGGTCTACTAATCTAATCCTTATTTACAGAATTCCCAAAAGTGTTCTTTATTGAGAACTATTTTCAAGTCCTGTTATAAATATCAGCTGCATACAGACAAGTTAGTTTCAGTGGGAAGGCTGCTAATCTCTACCTTATTTCATCATCATCTAACCAGAGTATGGGTTGTGTTACAACAATTATGGCAACAATAGCAACAGGTAAACCAGCTCTTTGCCCTCCTGATTAATTTTGTATGGAATGCTCACAGTAGTGTCTAGAGATAGACAAATCTAAAAATAGAATTTCAGGGTAATAAAGATTCTAAGAATAAGGTAAACCCGCCTTTCTAAAAGTGTATCACATGGAATGTAATTTATATAAAATGCTGACTCAAAAGGGTTCTATGGTCCAATAAGTTTGGCAAATACTTTATAGTCTGCCTCTTTTTTGGAGTCATCCGTTGTCCCTTAACATATGAAAGACTGTGAATGTCCACAGTTCAAAATTGTATTTGACTTCATTTAATCTAGCTTTCCCGAGTTCTCTTATGTAAAGAAGCCTTTTTGGGTGTGATCCATAGTGATATTCCCCAAAAACAGTTTTCCAAGAAGCACAGTTTGGGAAACATGAGCTAATTGAATCCATCATTGCAGAGTCAAGAAAACTGAAGTTCCCTTTCATAGTGTTTCCCAAATCACACAGCTCCCATGAAAGCACCAGAAGTATAGAATTAAAGTGCAAGAAGAGTCCTTATAGACTATTGGGTGCAACCTCTCTGTTTTTAAAGATGGGAAATTGTGTCCAATGCCACACAGCTAATGCTGGTTAATAGCAGGGTTTGAGGAAGAGAATATTATTCATACAATTAGTGGCCTTGAAAGCAATTTGACAGAAATAATGGAAGATAAATGCACACGGGGAGGAAATTGTTTAGAAGTGAGACAAACGCAATAAGAAATGTAAAACAAGAGCACTCCATGATTTGTGTAATGTGATATGCTAAGAAAACGTTGGAACCGTGATTACACAGAAAGAGCCACTGGGGAACGTTTAACTCTGCACCATCAAACTCTAATGACTGAAGTGAGCTCTTAAAAAGCTATTTCATTAGCTCATGAGGAACGCAACCAACATCACTGCCCATTGGGTCCCGGCTCCAGGGCAACCATGGTTAGCATCCTGGCACAGTGCAGGGGCCCTGCAGCCTTAGCCCTAAGTATAGGTCTTGCTCATTCTATTTCTTCCCCAAATATAGGATCCCAGCAGTCAATTAACCTCCCTCTGCCAGGTTCCTTATCAGTAACACGAGGATGATAAGAGCTACAGGACAAGGCTGTCATGAGCATCTAATTAAAGCTTGTATATAAATATCACATTAAACACTGTAAATGTGATAAAAGCTCATATGTGTTTTATAAATGACAAAGCTCCTTCCAAATTTAAGAAATCTTTACTATTTTTAACTCTCAGTTCATCATAAGCATGTTTTTCCCCCTCTGATTTTGACTTTGAGAACTTTGTTGTGAAGACTTTGAAAACCCAATTTGGCAAATACACAGTGTCTCTAAGGTGAAATCTGTTATCAACACCCAGTATTCTTTTACCAGGTGGCAATTGCCAGTTTCCCATGTGATTTATTATATTCTGCATTCCACTAGATTATAGACTCCCCTTGGCCTGTTCTCTCATCCCTCTCAATGGTAATTGTTGCACACTTAGTAGGTGAATACCACATCTGGTCACAAGATTTATTCAGGTAAAAGTAATCAGAAGCTTATTTTTAGCTGTCAGGAGAGACCATTCCGATGACTTATAGAACAAACACCCGAGACGGTTTGGAAGAGCAGCAGAGACACTAAACAAGAGGGTGAACAGGGATTGCTCTGCCGATCCCAATTCTGATTTACCAATATTTGAAACCCAATGGGAGAATGCACCTCTTCACTCAGGCGCATAATGATAAAGCAATTTAACCTCATCTCCTCCACCTGCAGGGTGTGTGTCTGATGGGGTGCAAGGCAACAGGAACCTCAGAAACTTCTGTATAATTCTTTTCCTACTCTCCCTTCCCCACCTTGAACTCCCCGCAGGGCCCAGCTCTTTTCTCTCTTTTTGAGGAAAAAAGGAAACATAAGACATCGATGCTAGTGAAAGAGGTGGTGACAAACAGACATTAGGGGTTTATTGAGCACTTAGATTTTAATTGGATTTTTTCTTTTGTGATGTCATTCATCAAAGCCACTGTAAAGGCAGAAGTTAAACAACAACAAATAAAAGGTTGTAGGCTGCCAGAGGCATGTTCTTACTAATTTCAGTTGAATGTGGCTGTTCCATTAAGCTTAATCATCTGGTTCACTTTTAACGATTCACCATCAAGTAAAAATTACCCGCTCCCCTTAGAAAGGCACATCTCATCTGACGCTGGTGGGACTGTGGTATTTGGTTTTAGAAGGAGCTCTTGGTCTTATTCGTTTTGTGGTTGATTTATTATTATTATTTTTTTTAAGTGCACCACCTTGACAAATTTGGGTTGTGGACGTGGCCCCCTGGAGAGTGTCACCAAAGCAAATCTTAGTGTTCTCCATCCCCTTTCTCACTTGATTTTAGGATAACTCTATGTATCAAGAATATTTGTTCCTAATGTTGTCAGATAACTCAGCAATTATTACCAAACATTAGGCACATGGTTCAATCTGAGCAATATGAAGGAGGAATACAAGTTTATCTCAGTTCTGAAAAAATGTCTTTACTAACCAATGAATCCTCAATACAACTATGTCATTTGTATATGCTGAAAAGAGCAAGGAAGTTGTAAGCACATTAAGTACACTGACCATTGTAATTACACTAGGGACTGGGACAGAAGTCACCTTTAAGGGTGAAGAAGCTACACGATTTTACTGAACCATATTTCAAGTATCAACCTGATGCAGAAAGTAATGAATAATGTATGGAAAATGATCCACTTTATGGGAATGTTGTTCTATAATAAACATGATTTAACTGTCAACCAAGACCATTTAAAAACACTTATTGTCTTGAATAGGCAACAAATAAACAATACCTGTCTTCTACAAACTTGAAATTTAGGCTTGTAAATACTCATATGTAAAAGATACATAATAAAAACAGAAATTAGACAATTGAGTACTTTGATTAAGTATTATGAATAAAAATATAAATGGAAAGATGAAGAACAGCATAGAAAGAAGTTATACGTTGGATAAGGTGGAGTCAGGTATCGTGTTGGATCTTTGATGGTTCAGGAAGAATTCTTGGAGGAGTTTAGATTTACCAATGGGAAAAAATGATTTAGCAACCAGATGAGTGCATGGCATGGTTTCAAGGTTCAGTGTGGGAGAAAGCCAGAGGATGCCTTGAGTAGGTGCCTGGGCTAATAAAAGCAATAATGTCAGCTAAAATAGACACACTCTTTCCCTAGAGTTGCAGGGTCCCATATTTTCTCACACTGCACTCAGATATGAAAGGCAAGACAAAACTTCCTTCTTCTTCTTCTTCTTCTTCTTCTTCTTCTTCTTCTTCTTCTTCTTCTTCTTCTTATTATTATTATTATTATTATTATTATTATTGTTAATCCTCACCTGAGGATATTTTCCCATTCATTTTTGGAGAGAGTAGAAGGGAGGGGGAGAGACATAGAGAGAAAAACATAGATGTGAGAGAGACACATCAATTGTTGGCACGAGGGTGGGGTGGAGGTTGGGGGTTGAACCTGCAACTGAAGTATGTGTCTTTGACCAGAAGTGAACCTATATCCCTTCAGTCCACGAGCCAATGCTCTCTCCACTGAGCCAAACCCACAGGGCCTTTTTTTTTTTTAATAGCTTATCCCTCAAGCTCTAATCCTATTGAATATTTGGAACCCTATACATATTAGGTTGAATATTGAGTCAATAATTTAGTGCAATTCAATAAAGTCTGCCTGATTCAATAGTACAGTCTCTTTCGATAACTTTTAAAAATAAATCCTTGTCTTTCTGGCTTCAGCTTTCTTCCCCTGCCCTTGATCTAGTCCAAGATGACATCTGGGTGTCCGAAAAAGGGAGAACCACATG